CACAATCTTAGGAGGAGGCCCGACATGATTTAAATGAGTAGAAGGAATCGGTCCTCCATAAACTGGAGGTGCCACATGGGCAAAGATGCCGGTGCCATTTCTACCACTAGTAGAAGGATCCTTTTCACTCGTAGCTTCCCCCTTATCGGAGTTAGCATCCGTCACCTTGTCAGTGGGATCACCCACTTTCAACGGCGAGGTAGATAGTTTAAGTCTTTCTAAGAATTTATTAAACATGCTTTCAACCTCGGTTGTCATGGAGGTTTTCAATGTGTCCAAAGCCACATTGAATTCCTCACGGGACACCGTGGTTCCCCCATCACCCACAGACGAGCCCGGATTCACACCGGAGTGCTCCTCCCTACCGTCTACGGTGTCAACCATACTCTTCGGACGACAAAGTCCTTAATAAAGAGACGAGGCTCTGATACCAATTGAAAGGATCGATATAGTTGACTAGAGGGGGGGGGGGTGAATAGACAACTAACAATTTTTAGCTTTTCTTTAACAAATTAAACATTGCATCAAAGTAGGTTGTCTAAATATGCAACTAGGTGAGCAACCTATATGATACAACAACAATAAGTACACACGCAAGCAAGGGATACAATACAAGTAAGCTTGCACAAGTAAAGGCACGAGATACCAAGAGTGGAACCGATGGAGACGAGGATGTGTTACCGAAGTTCCTTCCTTTTGAGGGGAAGTACGTCTCCGTTAGAGCGGTGTGGAGGCATAATGCTCCCCAAGAAGCCACTAGGGCCACCGTATTCTCCTCACGCCCTCACACAATGCGAGATGCCGTGATTCCACTATTGGTTCCCTTGAAGGCGACGACCGAACCTTTACAAACAAGGTTGGGGCTATCTCCACAACTTAATTGGAGGCTCTCAACGACACCACGAAGCTTCACCACAATGGACTATGGCTTCGCGGTGACCTCAACTGTCTAGGGTGCTCAAACACCCAAGAGTAACAAGATCCGCTAGGGATTAGTGGGGGGGGGGGAATCAAATTTCTCTTGGTGGAAGTGTAGATCGGGGCCTTCTCAACCTATCCCGAGCAAATCAACAAGTTTGATTGGCTAGGGAGAGAGATCGGGCGAAAATGGAGCTTGGAGCCACAATGGAGCTTTTGGGGAAGAGGTAGGTCAACTTTGGGGAAGAAGACCCCCTTATATAGTGGGGGGAACAATCCAACCGTTACCCCCCAAGCAGCCCCGCAGAGAGCGGTACTACCGCTGGGGAGGGCGGTACTACCGCTGAGCCAGCGGTACTGCCGCGTAAAGGAGGGGAGCGAGGTCCTGGACCCTGAGCGGTACTACCGCGGTGGTAAGGGCGGTACTACCGCTTAGGAGCGGTACTACCGTCTCTATTGCCGCAGCTAGTGCAGCAAAACCCGACATGAGAAAAGGGGCCCTCGAGTCGAGGCGGTAGGAGCTCGGAGCCGCAACGGTACTACGGCGGAAGGCTCCAAGCGGTACTACCGCTGAGGAGCGGTACTACCGCTTGTTGCACTTGGGCGGTACTACCGTTGTGGCCCGCGGTACTACCGCTGGGACCAGACAAGGCCAACGGGAAGGGGAATGAGACCTCCATTGAAGCGGAAAGGTTCAGCGGGTGCGATACGGATGTGTATGTGTTGATTCCACCCTAGCCTTACCAAAGCGGATCCCCTCTTGATAGTACGGTGACTCCTACGAAACTAGTCCACCAACATAGAAATGAAAGAGCTGCACCGTCTTGAATAAAACACCGAGGGGAGGGAATCATCTCGTGCCAAAGGATGAATCTCTGAAAAGCTCAACGCACACGATTAGACCGCAAAAGCATTGTCATCAATCACCAAAACACCTTAGGGATGAAAATGCCCTTACAATCCGACATCACCCCAAATCGCCCCCCCATTGTGCAATCTCTCCTCTCTTGTCCTAGCTGCGTCCACCTCCTCCCAGTCACCATGTGCACCTCCCTCCTAGCCCCCTGGGCCCATAACACCTTCCGCCTGTCTCCCTCCTAGATGTTGGGCCCACACCACCCTCTGCCCGCCTGCATGGATTTTGGCTCGACAAAATATGTGGGGCTATTCACGACGCCATTGCTAAATGTGTAGAGTCACACCCACTAGGACCATTGTGTCTGCGAGCGCACGCGCAAGGTGGTCGAGAAGGAGGTCGCCAACCTGGACGTGGACATGACCGCATCCATGTTGGTGTCTTCCTCGATCACGTCCATGCATGTGGATGACTCCGGCATGGCTTTGCAACAGTATAACATCCAGGAGGGCTTCACCCGGGACGCAAATGCATTTCTGGTTGGAGTTGAGCGGGAAGCCTAAGTGGGCAACCCTCTTTGAAGATCTCAAGAACCCCAACAAGAAGAAGAAGAACAATGATGGCTCAAGCTTCCACCAAACTATTGGATTGGATGAAGAGGATGAGACAAGTGGACTTGGGGCCGAGCCGAAGATAAGTAGGAGCATGAGGGGGAAAAAGTTGGAGAAAATCGGAGCAACGAGCAAAATGTCAGCCACATGGACGAAGTTGCTTTTCAAAAAAGACTTGGAATTGAAAAAAAGAAAGGACATGAAAGAGGAGGAAGAGATACAAGCTTTACTTGGATTTCAAGGGGGAGAGGCCGACAGGGTGTGGGAGAAGTTGGTAGTTGAGACGGAGAGGATGAAGATAAAGAAGATGTAGGCATGTGAGCATATGAAGCTTGAGAAGACAAAGACGATGGAGAGCATTTAGATTGGGAGAGAGAAGGTGAGGACCGGGAGGTTCACCAAAGAGTCAAAAGATAATGTTGATCGACACAAGCCTCATGGATGTCAATGCCAGAGAGTAGAATATCAACGCACACAGAGACATCGATGCACATAAAAAACACTTGATTCATCTGCTTTATTGGCTATGTATATACCGATACCAAAGAGTGAACTATCAACACACGTAAAGACAACGACGCACATAAAAACCACTTGATTCATTTGTATTATTGGCTACGTATGAATTGCTGGATTTTATTCGTCATGGATCATGTTGGCTTGTTTGAATAGATTGGGAGGGAGAAGGTGAGGATCACGAGGTTCACCGGAGAGTTAGTCAAAGATCATGTTAACCGACACAAGAGTAAATAGCATAAAACTACTACTTTACAGGCTATGGTTCCAAAAAACTACCGGTTTTTAATTTTTCTCAGATAACTACCAAATGGGCGGTCGGCTATTTCAAAAAACCCAAATCATCGAGTTTTTATCAGTTGATCACGATTATGACAGGTTGGTCCCACAGCTAAACAAACCGTTAGTTTGACCTTAGTTTGACCGTTAACTTACATGTGGGGCCCACATGTAAGTTTCTTCTTCCTTCTCTCTTTCTTCTTTCTCTGCCTCCTGTGCCAGACCTTTCCTCTCCCGAGCCGGCGACCCCCTCCCCCTCCCAAGCCGGCGAACCTCCCTCCAAGCTGGAGCTCCTGGTGGCGACGGTTGCAACGAGGCCGGTCTCGTCCGCGACACTCCAGCAGTGGCGCAGGCCATCTGCATCGAGCTTGAGGAGCTCGGGCCAGGGGATGGCGGCGGCCGCGGGCGAGGCACGGCGTGGGGGCGGCGTGGAGACCTGAGCGGAGCCCCATGGCCGGCGGCGCCCCAGGCGGCTCCTGATGGCGTGCAGTGGCGCGGCGACCCGAGCCGGAGCCCCATGGCTGGCGGCGCTCCAGGCAGATCCCGATGGCGCGCGGCGGCGCTGTGGCGCGGCGACCTGAGCCGGAGCCCCATGGCGGCGCGCCCGGCGACCACCCCGGCCACCCAAGCTGCGGGCGCGGCGACCAAGGGCAAAGCCCCATGGTGCAACGGCGACCACGGGCAGAGCCCTTTGGAGGCGCGGCGGCGACAGCCCAAGGACCCGATTGCTTTTTGTTAAATGATTCCAGGGACCCGATTGCTTTTTAAAAATATTTGTAGGGGCTAATCTGTAAAAAATTTGTTGATGAGGCGCTGACATGTGGCCCCCACAAGTCAGTTAACGGTCAAACAAACGGTCAACCAAACGGTGTGTTTAGCGGCGGGTCCGACCCGTCATAAACATGTTTAATTTTTTAACAAAGAGAACTTGGGGTTTTTTGAAACAGCCAACCACTGACTTGGTAGTTATCTGAGAAAAAATAAAAACCGATAGTTTTTTGAAACCATAGCCTGTAAAGTAGTAGTTTTATGCTATTTACTCCCGACACAAGCATCATGGATGCCAATGTCAGAGTGGGCTATCAACGCACACAAAGACATCGACACACGTAAAAGAAAAACTTGATTCATCTGTTTTAGCAGCTATGCATGAATTATTGGAACTTATTCTGTCATGGATCATATTGGCTTGATTGAACTGTTGAATTGATTTGTGCTACATTTGAGAAGGGGAAATGGGGGCGCCATTGCCAGGGCGGACAAATGAGGATCAAGCTCTGTTGTCCACAGAACAAATGGAGGCTCAAATTTGGTACCTGCTCTTGAGATGCTCTAAGCCTCGGCAGGGTATATTACCTGCACTAGCTCCTATCCGAGCACTAATGGACCTTCGACGAAGAACAACTCAACAAGTTTTTCCCAGCCCACGCATACTCTGCTGGAAAAGGAAACCATACAAACAGACAAGGTACTACCGATTTACTACATTAACTGTCAAAATCAGCAAGTCGATGATTCATTTCTTTACAGTTTACGCAACTATTAGCCAATGATAGCTGGAACCTGCTGAAAAGATACAAGAAGGGGACATTTAGTCGGGTCAAAATTTCTGGACAAGGAAATGTTCCAAACATGTCCAAATTTAATTGCAGAGGCATCTCATGTATTGACAATTCTGTTGCCGATGACTGCTAGTCTCACCCTGTTTTGCTTTGATTTTGTCTAGCCCGATGGACTGCACGAGAGGAGTGGATAATCAGGAGAAGAAAAGTAATCATTGAATGCATATGTTGGATCATTCTGCCAAAATGTCAACGGCACTAAAGAAAACTAGTGAGAGGTCTTCTTGGCAATCTGTAGTTTTGTAACATCTGTTAGCTTATATAAAGATGATAAACATATAAACATATTAATGTGTTTACCTCAGTGCTAAGTCAGCTTCTTGCTCAACTTTACGCAGACTTACATTCATATACAATCCCTGCAGAAGAGAATATTTGTTGAGTGTCATTTTAGACCCAAAATCACAAGTGTAACACAGTGAAAGGAACGAAGTGAAGCTTGGTCTCAATTGATTTGAGACCTGCATTCTTTTTAGTATCAGCGCCATGCCTACCCATTCAAGTAATCACAAGACGGCATGGATGACTACAGGTCTACAGCAGCTATGGTTTTAGTCGAGTGATTTCGAAACGTGTAGTGCTTTTATCCTTCTCTTTGTCAGGGAAAGGTGACTAAAGCTCCAAATTGCAATTTCACTGCACTTTCCGCATTTCATTTAGTGTTTAAAACTAATTATTTTCAGCCATCTTGTTGATGGTGGGACAGGCATAACCTGGGAGCTTACAACTGATCTAAACAAACTTATAATAAAGCCCTGTTCGGATCCACTCCGCTCCAGCTGCAACTCCCGGAGCGGAGGGAGCGGCAGCGCAATCGCACAGAGCGGCTCAGACCCAGCTCCTCGCACGGAGCGGAGTTTTGAAACTGGAGAGGTACCGAACAGGCACTAAGACCAACATGAACATAATCACCTACTATGGTATCTTGCATAGTCTACCCGTGAGTGCTACAGTGTTTTAGAGTTTATACCTCTATCATAAATTGAAAGCAACCTGATCATGCACAGGACACTGAAGTAATTGGATAGTGCTTCCTTACATTGGTTGTATGGATAGTGGCCCCAGTGGTCATGCTGATTTTTTGATCTGCCACAAGCTGAATGTCCATCTTTTGTATGACAATTGCAAGTGCCACAATTGCTTCTAAAAGAGCAAACTGATCTCCAACACATTTTCGAGGGCCTCCACTGAAAGGGATAAACCTGGCAAAAAGAGGTGGTAATGGGAGCACAAAATAATGTAACCATTTTGCAACACCAAAATAACAGCATAAAAGAATGTATCTCAAGGTTACTTTCTGACCTGAAATCGGTGTTTGACTCATTTGGAATGGGACCCTCCAAATCAAATCTCTCTGGAATGAATTCATCTGCTCTGTCCCATACCTTCAATAGGAACAAAAGAATAATTATTGCAATGATAAAATATTGGAATGCTGTCCATTTATTCATGCCTGGACACTGCCCGAGGATGACGATATGCAGTAAACAGAATACTTCCAAGTTTTCAACCTCTGAAATTTAGCGTGATAAGAATTTTTCTTAGTTCATGTTATCATTATATTGTGTAAATTGGTAGTTTGGTATCATAAATCCATAATATCATCAGTGTAAGCAGCATCAAGGTCATACACATACATAAGCTATTTAACTGGTAGCTCATGGTTTTGCGAATCTTTGAGTAACCATACACATTTCTGGTAATTAACTCTATTGTTCATCAATAGACTAGACATAGATATGCTATATTTCACTATGCAAAATAGTTGAAAAATAGCTTTAAAAAATATCAGCCAAGATCACAAGATGTAATATTCAGATGAAAAAGGATACCTCGGGTGATCTGTGTATATTGTACACAGAAATCATAATATCTTGACCAGTCTTAACCTTGTAGTTTCCAGGAAGCACATCATCAACTAGTGCACGCCGTATCAGCACCTGTTAATACAGTGTCCTTGAGTAACCAACACTAACTCTGAAGTGGCTTGTCTGAAGCACAAGGAATTACAGGAGGATGTGGGTATAGCCGCATGGACTCATTGATACAGCGCATCAAGTACTTCAGCTCTTTTACATCTTCATATCTGGGGAGTCTACCTTGTAGAACACGATCTACCTCTTCTTGAGCTTTCCTTAGTGCTACTGGATCCTTCAGCAGTGTAACACTGAGCAGTCAATAGATATTAAAGAGATAATTTAAGTAATGTGTTGCTTCTCATTTGGGACTTTACTTGATATAACATTTGGCCAAGGTAGAAAGGAGTACCTTACTGAGAAGATAAATAGTCCATGTCAGTACAGAGCCTGTCGTTTCATGACCAGCAACTAACATTGACAATAGATCATCACGTAACTGCAAACTGCTGACCTGGGTCATACAAAGAAAGCATGTTAGTTAAAGCAATAAGCAATTGAGCAAAGTGCTTGTAACATAAATAGTGAAACATACAAAACAAATAGCCAACATTTGCATGCCAAAACGGCACAGCTGAGTTAGCACCAAAAGAATATACTGTGTTCGAAATAGGATTTTACGTTGCTGCGCCAAACAGGTCCTCTGTACTGTCAATACTCCAAAATACTCTGTTATGTCAACACCACGGTATTTTATACATACAGGCTAAATTACTATTCTTTTACCAGGAAACAGTAGAAGAGCCCTTACAGTAAAATTATTATTCGAAGGCAATCAATAATATGGTCTATGCTGAATATTATCATTTGTACAAGTAAAAGTGCTAACGACTACAGTTAATTTTACGTCGCTGCGCCAAATAGGTCCTCTGTACTGTCAATACTCCAAAATACTCTGTAATGTCAAGACCACGGTAGTTTATACCTACAGGCTAAATTGCTGTTTTTATCAGGAAACAGTAGTGGAGTCCTTGCAGTAAAATTAGGATTCAAAGGTAACCATAATATGGTCTATGCTAAATATAATCATTTGTATGTGTAAATTTTTTACGCTGCAATAGTAATAGGATGTCAATAATTGCTGCAGAATCAAACAGGCTTTCTCTATTCAAACATTCAGTTGAACTGACACTAGCAACATTGATCAGCTGAGCACTCAAATGCATGATGGTTCAATGCCCGGTTAATGATTATCAAATATTGCGAAACTAAATGGATAATAAAATAAGCCATCATAAGGGAAAGACGAAAACCCCTGAGTTAATAACAACAATAAGACTAATCTCCAAGATTATATGAAACGAGGAAAGGTAGCTTCCTAGATAGTAGAAACATCAATAGGAACAATAGGAAATTGACATCAAACATTGTTTTAGCTCGAGATAAACTAAACTACCTCTTCACGGCTAGCAAGTAAAAACCGCAGGATGCTAGGATCTGCCTCATTTACATATTCTTCACCCTCAATCTGTTCATTTTCAGCATCTACGATGGCCTTGCATTTTATGATTAGCTCCTCAACGGTACTCCTTATTGTGTTAACTGCTTTTTCTGCTTTTATCTGTCTAGGAACAATCTTGCACAGCAAATCGATCTGTAGAAAATAAACAAGGATCACATCAAACATCAGTCGTGCAATTTTCCCCTTCTGCAAGTTAGCAAGACCGAAGTCAATCAGAGGTCCAAAATAAGAAATGTAACATGATGAAAGAACCTACCTGCCAGTATGGTAAAAGATCTGTAGAACGAGCCTCTGCTTCTTTGAGTGCAGTGTAAACAGCATCAATAACAGGACTATCTGATGTGAGGGAATCAAAGTTGTAGTTGAACAAGGATAAACCAATCACATCTAACGTCATTTGAGAAAACCTCGCTTCCATATTAACAGGTTCACCGCTCAAAGCATAAGTCTCGAGCTTTTCCACCAATCTCTCAGCACATTTACAGAACACTTTATCAACCATTACTGAGAGAAATCTTTTGTGTAGAGATGGTACAACTGCTCTACGTCTCACCTAAAATAGCAGATTAATAATAAGTTAAAGAGAGGATTAATAGACGAACAAGATAGGGAGGGCATGAAAACTCAAAATCAAATTCATGTGAATTACAGGCAGGAAGCTTTCAAATTGTACAAGCATCACTCCTTGCTAGAAAATAGGACCTAGTGAGTGTCCCCCTGAGTTCCAATTTCCGAAGAAGTCTAATAGAGTAATAGAGTGTATTTCACAAATACAAGGAGGGTCGTGGTCCGGTTATCAAAAGATCTACTCTAGTTCTGAGTCTTGTTCTACACACACGAAGTAAACTTTAATCCAAGTATAGATTGTCTTTTTTGAGTATTTTGACGCATGTCCAGTCCAGCACCTATAGTCTGTGAAGTCATATTGGAAGGGGCTACACTGACACCATCTACCAGATAGTATATCAGCAAGTAAGGTGTATAACTGTTGTCTTAAGTTAAACTTGTGTAAGGTTGACCAAGTTTATAAAAAGAAAAAACTGTTACGTCCACAATACCAAACCAAAATCAGTTGATCCATCATGAACTATGTTTACATGGTCTATTTCTTTGGTATTATAGATGTTGATACTTTTTGCTATAAACCTTCAAACTGATAGAAGTGTATCTTAGGACAAAAATTAGTATGCCTTATATTTTGGGAAGGAGTATAAACTTTTGTACTGGTGTGGAAGTGATTCTTCATTTGTCAGAAATACCCTATTTAATTCTTCATTTTTCAAAGCTAGAGAGAGAGCACACCGTCCAGAGCGCTCCCTCGGCGATGGCGAACCCAGAGCCAAAGAGGAACTCGGAGACCTCGGCGACGAGCCCCTTCTCGTAACGCGTGCCGTACCCGCGGAGGACGTGCTTGGCCACGGCGGGGTCGCTGACGATGACGAAGTCGCGCGGCCCCGCGGCGAGGCGGTAGACGGGCCCTTCCTCGCGGAACCACTTGAAGAGCGGGAGGAAGAGCGCGCCCCCGAGGAGGTCCTGCACGTCGTCGAGCTTGGCGGAGGCGACGGGGATCCCCGAGTCGTCGTTCCCCCGGCCGAGCACCGAGCGAGACAGCGACGTGAGCCAGTCGGGGCTGACCCACGAGGTGGTGGGCTTGTCCCCTCCTCCGCCGCCGCTGCCGCTGCTCCTTGGCGGGGGCAGGCGGAGGCTTGCGTGGCGAGGAGGCGGTCGTGGGGCCCACGGCGGAGGAGGAGACGCGAACGCGGAGGCCAATGCCGCGGCGGGCATCGCGCACGCGCAGGCCGCCGCGGGCTACTGTTAATTTGGGTTGGATTTGGGTGAGAGCAGTAGTGAAGGTGTGTGACAGAGAGAAGAGAGAAGAGAGAAGAGCAAGAGGATGAGGTGGAACCCGCTGGTGAGCGGGGGCGCACGGTATCATCGTGAGACTGTGAGAGCAAATCCATCTCCAACGGCCCGTCAAGTTCCACGCTCCACATCTTCAAATATAGAGCCTCTCAAAAATATATTTTATTCTTTTTTTTTGCGGGTCTATTCATATTTCTTAGCTAGCTAGCTAGCTCTCTGTAAAGTTGAGAAATATAATTCTCGCAAAATAAAAAAAATGAGAAATATTATGTTGGTTTTTCTTTAGAATAAATATTATGTTGGTTGGATGATGCATTTTATGAGCGACTTTCACGTGCTAGAAATGATGTTTTTTTTTCAAATGTGCAAAACTGATGCTAAAGTGATGTAGAAAACGGCAGTTTAGGCCACCTTGGAAAAAACGCTGTTTCAACGGGTGATGCATATTCTCCGCAAAAATAACGGAGCATATGCATATGGCCCATGAGCGGCCGGAATGTTTCAGAAAAATATGAACATTGGTAAAATGTTTCGGGAATCATAAAATGTTTTGTGGATTAAAAAAATGACATGATATTGAAAAAACAAGGTATTGAAAAAAAGTTTGTGAATTTGAAAAAAAATGCGGATTCAAAAAATGTTCAGATCATGAATTTCGGAAAATGCTCATCAATTCAGAAAAAGTTCACCAATTAAAAGAAATTGAACTCAAAAAAATGTCATCGATTAAAAAAATGTTCACAAATTTCTAAAACATGTTCGCAATTCAAAAAAAAGTCGCAAAAGATATAATATGATCGTGATTTCAAAAGATGTTTGTCAATTTCAAAAATGGTCACATATTCATAACAAATGTCCGCGAGTTCAAAAAATGTGCATGATTTAAAAAAATGTCGTGAATTTGAAAATTGTTCATGACTTCAAAACTATGTTCGTGAATTCAAAAAAATGCCAGCAATTTGAAAAGTTGTTCACAACACGAAAAAGAAAAAGAAAAAAGAAAAGAAAAAGAAAGAAAAAATTGAAAAAAGGAAAAATATATTAGGGGAGCTTCTAGAACCTTCCCAAAACTAGTATGGGGTGGAACCCATAATGGGATGGCCCAGAAGAGGACCACGCGCACGAAGGGGAGGGCATGCGCTAGGTTGCTACGGAGCGACCTAAATGCAAAATAGGATTCCTCCCCACAAAATGACCCCCACTGCTGCATATTTGCGGCACCGCTACCTGCTGCCACAAGATGAAACTGCAACCGCATGAAAGCAAGCTGTCCCGCGGAAGTTTCCCCGCCTCTACCCGACGTCGATCCATCTGGATCTCGTCGCCAGGCGAGCCCGTCATCCACCCCCGGCCCAACCCGCCCCTGTTGCCCATTCTCATCGTTGGCGCTGAGTTCTTCCGTCATCAATCGATTTGCATCGATTTCTCGTAGCTTCTCTCCCTTCCGCAGCACCCGGGCATGCCTTGAGGTCGAATAGTCGTCGCCCCTTTCCTCAAGTGGTTGTCGTGGCCACCATTGAGCCGCTGCTCTTCCAAGTTCTCGGTTGTCAGTCGGCACAACGACGATGGCTCTGCCCGAAATCCACAGCTTCTTGGTGGTAGAGGAGCACCACGACTACATGCCTAGCCAGCCCGGCAACTGCCTCTACCCTGGCATGCTACGGCGGTCAGATTTCGTGTTCGTGCCCACTAGGTGTTTGAGAAAATCCACCAAGGTAGAAAATGATTTATCTTTTATTGCAATTGTGGAGTAAAATGAAAGAAGGGCAAAATATTGGACACCATTTTACATCATTTGTTAAAGCAGCAGCCACGGTGTTGCAAGGAATTTTTCTCTCTTCTATCCTATAATGGTTTTTACATCACCGATTTTTCACCATCTATTGAAGATTTCTCTAAGGGGGTGATTCCCCTATATCATGGCAGTGTAGTTTCAAGTAGTTTGTCATTTTCTTTGAGCTTGAAAACATAAGTTGTGAAATCATCAACGGTGTTAGACAAGATTGTTGCTTGTGGCGGCTAGTGATTTTCTCCACTGAAGGCAGGATGGGATCATGGGAGCCGTTGGTTCTCATGCTGAAGGATGGTTGATATTTGAGATGTTTTACAGTAACTTAGACAATAATAAACTTACCAGGTTGGCATTTTACAGGAACATGTGTTCCGATGAAGGTTTAGTAGTTGACATAATGTAGTGCTTAAATTATGTACGGTTGCCATTGAGAATTTTGTAATGTACGTTTTGCATATCTAGTTAATCATCATTGGTTGTAGGGAAAAGTTGGGTGCTCCTTGAAACTGGAAAGAAATGGGCAGTTCTTTTGATAAAAATGAATTTGGACCACCTGGCATAAATCCATAAATGTCAATGGACTCAATTCACCTCAAGTCCCACCACATACAAGAATATACACAGATGTCTTCTAACACCTCCTGGCAACAAATTTGTGGAAAATATAAAAATTCTCCATTTTTTAACAAACAAGCAACAAACTAACTACCACCTAAACAAAGTGAAAATGCACACTACTGCTCCTATCTCATTTCCCTCTTTGGCCTCCGGATTTGTATCAAGCCCTCTCTTGCCCCCAAATAAAAATGATTTGCCTAACCTTATATTCCATTCCTTTCACACACACTGTTAAGAAACCATAGTCACCAGTGGCAGAAATGTTCTTCAGTGATAGGCGTTGGGTCCATCAATAGCATGTCACTAGTGGCAATTATAGGGTCATTTATGTTTCTAGAGAGGGATTTAATGGGCAATTCTAAAGTTGTAGTCATGCTTTAGATGGCCAGCTTTAAACTTTAAGCTATGGTTGCCTAAACACCCTAAAGCATGCAAGATCTAAGAAAAGTATGTGCAAGCAAAACTTGCAATAAATAAAGGATCAAGGAAAGGTGTATCTAGAGATTCGAATTGTTGGGACAATCCTACATCCTGAATGGTGGAGGTTAGAACACAAAGTTTTAAGACCACTAATGTTCGGGGGGTAAATATTAATACCACAAGATTCCATCTCCCAGCTAAGCACAGTCAAAGCTAATTATCAAGGCAAGAATGAGTCAACACAAGTCAAGCTACTGTCATGGTCAATAAGTCAACAAGGAGAAAAAAAGATAAGAAGACGAGGTGAAAAGGGAAGGAAAATAAAAGAAGCCCTAGTGAAGCTTTAGTGCCCAGTCATAGAATCCCACCAAAGGTGGAGGAATGAGAGGGATTGGTCCATGAAATGGCTAATTGAAAGGATTGAGAGGTCGACTAGAGGGTGGTGAATAGGAGACTACAAATTTTAATATTAACTTTCAAATTAGGTCAATGCAGATAAATTAGGTTCTCTAGATATGCAACTACGTAAACACAGCCTATATGGCAAGCAAACTCAAAACAAGGTATGCTAGGCAATAATACAATTAACAAAGCCAACAAGCATACAAGGAAATGAAGGAAATATGCCCTAGAGGCAATAATAAAGTTGTTATTTTATACTTCCTTATTCATGATAAACGTTTATTATTCATGCTAGAATTGTATTGATCGGAAACCTTAATACATGTGTGAATACATAAACAAACAACATGTCCCTAGTGAGCCTCTGCTAGACAGCTCGTTGATCAAAGATGGTTAAGGTTTCCTAACCATGGACATGGTTTGTCATTTCACAACGGGATCACATCATTAGGAAAATGATGTGATGGACAAGACCCATTCGTTAGCTTAGCATAATGATCGTTCAGTTTTATTGCTATTGCTTTCTTCATGTCAAATACATATTCCTTCGACTATTAGATTATGCAACTCCCGGATACCGGAGGAATGCCTTTTGTGCTATCAAACGTCACAACGTAACTGGGTGATTATAAAGATGCTCTACAGGTATCTCCAAAGGTGTTTGTTGAGTTGGCATAGATTGAGATTAGGATTTGTCACTCCGAGTATCGGACATGTATCTCTGGGCCCTCTCGGTAATACACAGCACAAGCTTGCAAGCAAACAACTAAGGAGTTAGTCACGAGGTGATGTATTACGGAACGAGTAAAGATACTTGCCAGTAACGAGATTGAACTAGGTATGAAGATACCGACGATCGAATCTCAGGTAAGTAACATACCAATGGACAAAGGGAATTACGTATGTTGTCATAACGATTTGACCGATAAAGATCTTCGTAGAATATGTAGGAGCCAATATGAGCATCTAGGTTCCGCTATTAGTTATTGACCAGAGAGGTGTCTCGGTCATGTCTACATAGTTCTCGAACACGTAGGGTCCGCACGCTTAACGTTCGATGACGATATAGAATTATATGAGTTATGTGATTTGGTGACCGAATGTTGTTAGGGGTCCGGATGAGATCACGGACATGACTAGGAGTCTCGAAATGGTCGAGAGGTAAAGATTGATATATAGGACGATGGTATTCGGACACCGGAAGTGTTCCGGAGGGTATCAGGCACATATAGGGTCACCGGAAGGGGTTCCAGGCACCCCCGGAAAAGATATGGGCTTAATGGGCCAAGGGAGGGACAGACCAGCCCACAAAGGGTTGGTGCACCCCTCAACCAGGCTGGCCAGCCCTAGGGAAAGGAAAGGGGGAGGGCAAGTGATACGTCTCCAATGTATCTATAATTTTTTATTGTTCCGTGCTATTATATTATCTGTTTTGGATGTTTTATATGCATTAATATGCTATTTTATATTATATTGGGACTAACCTATTAACCTAGAGCCAAGTGTCAGTTCCTGTTTTTTCCTTGTTTTTGAGTTTCGCGGAAAAGGAATACCAAATGGAGTCCAAACGAAATGAAACCTTCGCGATGATTTTTCTTGGACAGAAGACAACCACGAGACTTGGAGATGAAGTCGGAGGAGCCACGAGGCGGCCACAAGGACAGAGGGTGCGCCCAGGGGGTAGGCGCGC